CTTTTGCATGATTTTTATTGTCATTCAAAACATAAACCCATAGTTTCCTATCTGCTTCAGATTTTGGGATTTAGGGTTTCATCAACATCGTTATTTCCTTCTACTACATATGTCTTCGCCTTACTAGAACTCGTAAGAAGACAAGGAGAATGAGGTTGAACAACTTTGCCTATCAGACTCAAAGATGCAGCCGGTAAAGGTGAACAAGTGGTACACTCCGACAGCGGTGGCACCGTCTTTAACGGACGCCCTCTCCACATCGCTCTTGATTCCTCTTTATTGTTGTTATTATTGTTTTTGTCGTTGAGGTTTAATGTTTAAGGATTATTTTGATTTTGTTTTTTTGTTGTTATTATTGTTGATGAGAAAGATTTAGAATTTGTCAACAAATTTGATGCTTTGCAATAGAAAAAAACATGTCAATTTTTTCGGAAATAGGACTTTACCCCTCGGTTATTGTTAAAAACGAGGTAAAAAGTAGCACAGTTTTGAAATTCCAAAATTTTTTATTGCTAGAGATTGAACCCATGACAAGTGCCACTTTATCCCTCGGTTTTTGAATAACCGAGAGGAAAAATGGCAAGTTTTCATGTCTCCCTTCGTTACCTCGCCTGTCTAATCGAGAATATATTCTTTTCCCGATAGAGGTGAAAAAAGGCAAGTTTTCATGTCACCTTTTGTTACCTCGTATGTCTAACCGAGATTATATCTTTTTCGCGTATGAGGTGAAATATGGTTATTTGTAGTAGTGCTAACTCAATAAGTTACTTTCATATTTTCCTAACTATAGAAAAGATTAAACATTAAGAAAACAAATTTGAAGTATTTTCATGCTCTTGATTTTATTATCATTGTTTTCAATATGTTAAGTTTAAATTTCAACACTTTATAAATGAACGACAAAGATTCGTTACTTAATTTTTTTTCATCAAAATTGTCATATGTAAAAAATAAAGAAAAAATATGTTACTGTACCCTTCGGTTTTAAGCAAAACCGAGGTAATAGGTCATAAAAAAATTTAAAAAATCAAAAGGTGATAAAATATAGTTGTTGGGATTTGAAGATATGTCCTCTACATACTTTATCCCTTGGTTTCCAGCAAAATCGATGTAATAGATTATAAAAAAAATTAAAATATGACAATGTATTTGTTGAGATTCGAAGATGTGTCCTCTAAATACATTACCCCTCTGTTTCCAGCAAAATTGAGGTAATAGTCATAAAAAAAATTTAAAAATTAAAAGGTGATAAAATATCTTTTATATATATATATATATATATATATATATATATATATATATATATATATATATATATATATATATATATATATATATATATATATATATATATATATATATATATATATATATATATATATATATATATATATATATATATATATGACAAACACAATTATCCAAACAAACGTATCCTTATCCCATATTTACCTATACTCAATATCTGTTTATTTTAAATGCACCCCTGTACTATATGTTGACTCGGGCCACTAAACATTGTCAAGGATATCTATCCCATTTATTAAGATAAGATATCACAAGACCACATGCCACCAACGTACTCTCAATTACCAAGAGCTACGCCATCTAACTTCACGTGGAGTCCAGGTGTTATAAGTCGATCATCCCTGAGAAATCAGGCCAAGAACCTTGTCTTGCCTAGCATGCATGTATAATAATCCCCGTTGGGATTGTATGAGACCGATCAACCTCGTATGTCCCATACCGCACGACAATGGACTTACACATTCCTCAATACAAGTCTATATGATCACTCAATCATCTTGTGGCAACTCTCAACAGTAAGTATTAAGTTAATGCTCGGGAATTATCGTACCAACCTTTTAGGTTATACTTATTATCTAGATAGTTAGGTTGAGTGTCAAATCCATCAAATATTTATTCATTCCTTCTAAACATGATCCTCATCTCTATACAATCGGTTTAGTTAGTACAATGGATATTTTATGGTTAACTTTCCAGGTAAGAGAGGTGAATCATAAAGGACATAGTCGACCAAGCCTTTCCTTAGCCAGAATCCAACCGAATACAACTTTTCAATGTATCTAACTTCTTTATATTATTGGGAGTCTAACACTTAATATCTAACTATGGTGTAATTTCTCTCCTTAAAAGAGTAATTGATAATTTTCTAAATCTAACAATCACAATCATTCAAGTATAAATCAAATAAGCATTTAGACAATTAATCAAACAATGCAATCACAATACAACCACCAAATATTTATAGATTATTCCTATGGTAAATAACTAAGGTCGGCGTAACCTCGTTTAGTGATTCGTGAAAAATCATTATCCGAGAATAGGCTCTCCTTACTTATTTATCTCTAGTAGGACTTGGGTCACCACTACTCACATATATATTAAGCTATTTTACGCTAATCGTCCCAACGTATATGGAATCTTTGCCCCACCTTTTGTTGTTGAAGGTGTTGCGAAAAGTTCCTCAGACATCGCTTTTAAATTTAGAAAAGAGCCTAATTTTCGCCGATCATTGAGTTGTACCAATGTTAAAAATAATAATATATAGTTAATTATCATAATTTTATAAATTTGTTTTAAAACCTTGAATAATAATATATTTAAAATATTTATTTAATTCAAATTTTAATTAGACTATACTCTCGTTTATATTTGATAAGTTTTAAAATTTATCGAGAGTATGACCTTAATAATATTTTGAACAAATAAAAATATATGAACATCATAACAATAATAAAATAGTAAAAAATATATAGATATTAATATTAAAACTAAAATTTACTCATTATAACAGCTTACAGGTAATGAAGACAAATACCACCAATATCTTACTTAATTATCACTAAATCAAGTATAAAGTAGAAACTATTTTGGATAAATGTAAGAATATTGGGTGGTGAAACCCCTATTTATACTACTATGAATGCTATAAAAATAATTTATTTATGCATCCAAAGTCATACAAGATGTTCTCTTATGTCATCCATAATGCATTTGGCGTTGAAAATCAAGCATGAGATGTTTGAAACTAATAAGTCAGATTCTAGAATTCTTTGAATGAATTATCTCATTCATGAAAAATAAAATAAAAATTGTTTTATGATCCATTCTAATTTATTTTTAGTTTTATCATACATATAAAGGTTTTGGTTTATAATAATAATAATAATAATAATAACATAATAATAATAATACTATTATTAATAATAATAAGAGTTAATTTATATAAAAAAATATTTATTTATTTAATGATCACAATGCGAAATAAATAAAAATCAAGATGTTACACCGAACCTGTATAATATTTTGGTGTCATTTTTCTTCCCTTATCCTTTTTGTTTTCTACAAAATTTGTGAACTTTGAATCTCTACTACATATTTATTCAAATGTTTTTATAAAGTATTTTTAAACTCTAATTCTGAAAATAATTTTATTTAAAATCGATGATTTTTAAACCTTCACAAATCACTCCTATAGAATATGAAATCACACGTTCAACACATATAAGCTTAAAGAGCTTAATAGACGACTCATGTCAAGGACATGAAATTCAATTAACACGAGATATTATTACAATTAGATATTTTATTCTAATTTGTTTTAAGGCGAAATGTGTTTGACCAACCAATGTATGAATCCATTTGAAAAAACTTATTTGTTATCATATTAATATCAGGTTATTCTATTAATCTTATTGTTGGACTTTAATTAGAAGACCCTTGCTGCCCTCAACAGACAATCTAAATATTGAATATCCATTGAAAGATCTTTACCGCTCTTAAGAGACAATTTAAATATTGGACTTCTATTGAAAGATCCATGCAACAAGAGGCAATCCAAATGATGAACTTCTACTGAAAGATCATTGTCACCCTCAAAGGAAAATATAAATATTAGACTTTTACGAGAAGATTCCTGCAGAACAAGGAGTAATACCTCAACTTGAAGTCTCACTTGAGAGACTTAACTTAAAGACTCGCTTGAGAGACTCAACATGGAGTCTCGCTTGAGAGAACAACAGAATGTCTCGTCTGAGAGACTCAACTTAAAGTCTCTTCTGAGGGACTCAACCCAAAGTATCGCATGAGGGGCTCAAGTTAAAATGTCTCCTAAGAGAATCAACCTAAAGTCTCACCTGAGAGACTCAATTTAAATCTCCTCTAAGAGACTCAACTTGAAGTCTCGCCTGAGAAATTCTAATTAAAACTCCGCAGAGGGGTAGGAGAATAAAATCACTTCACCCTTTATAAAATCTTGTGCTCGAGGAAATGTGTATTGGTATATTTGTAAATAATACATAGGAGACGATGCAATACTCACCAAGAGCAAGTGGGTAACTCCTATCGCCTAAAGTAGGACCCCTACCCGCCCTTTTGTTTCCAACGTTTGTCCATTTATCATAACTAGTGCTAGTCGTCGAAAATGACCTCCATTTGACTGGATTGTTCGTCGACCTACGAAAACGTGGGGAGCAACGTGCCCACACTCAATAACGTCATGGAAGACAATCAAAGATAAGGGACACGTTCTCTAAAAGAATGAGAGAATAATCATTCATTCCCCACACTCCCGAGAGATGGAGTGTTGTTACTCAGAGTCTAACATCTAGGCCTAAGAGATTTCAATAAATCTCTCAACTCTATGATTGATTGATAAAAACATTCAATTCACCTGAAAAACATCACTATATATAGAGTTTTTCACCACCCTTATGTGAGCGGACTTTAATACCATAAAAACTCTAAAAATCTTTGGCATCCTTACTTTATAAGGAGTTCTCACGTATTAAAAAATTCCCCAATTTAAAAATTGATATAATATGAGTATGAATATCTCAAAAATATCTTTAGAATACATCCGTGATAGAAATTATTTGACTACTAAAAATTATTGGACATTATTACTAACTTCCAATGTTAGATTCTGCTTCCTGACGTATATAGATATATTAGATTTATGTTGCTAGTTTCTGCTCTCAATTCATTCGTTTCTCAGGTCGCCCTATGAACAATTCCGTCTCCACCTCCTCACCTAGCTCACTTTCTGTTAACAGTTCTATATCTTGTTGTCCAATTCCACACTACAACAACGAAAAATTGTTAGAAATTAGGTTTTAATCAAAGGAAAAATAACCTTGTAATTTCAATAAATGAAATATGCAGCCCAAATCAGCATTGGAGTCATATTCAGTGAGGTTGTCTATATGGTTAAAGGACTAACTTGCTCACGTAAGCGTCTATTTTCATCAAGTAGGCACCATTCCTAAAGTGGTAGCAAAAAATATAACATTTGTATTAAACAATTTAAATAAACAAATTGATTGATTGAAAGAAGAAGTGTGTAATCATTGTAGTAACATTATTAATTACCTGTTTTTTTAGCTTTTCAATTTGCTCCCTGAAGAGTTGATTCTGAGCATAGACATAGAGCACAAGTTCTTCAATTAGATGTCTTGGTTTTACATTAATTAAAACTTAGTAGAACATTTTTATAGGGTACCTTTCTTGCCCTAATTTTGCTTAAGCTGCATTCCAGTTGATTTTCAATCTTTTGTAATTCTTCAATACCACATGTATCCAATTCATCTCCCACCAGCTTCCTACAATACATGAAAACTACCAATGCTGAGAATAATGATTCATAAAAATCTCTAATTAAAGAAAGTTGGTTCTGAAAACCTTTTGTAAAGTTCTAGTTGCTCCAACTTCTTTGTTGTGTTGATATCACATTGCAAGTTCGATGAAGGAGTAACCTGTGTGTTTTCTTGGATTTCTTTGGTGCTAAGAGCCAAGTCCTTGACTTTCCGTTGATAGCGTTCTACTGTTTTATTTATACTGAACGAAGCATTTCCATAAACAAATAAAAGAAAGCATTAAATTTAAAAGATTATGGTAAATTTTGTTGCATGTAGCCAATTCTGCTTAAAAAAATAAGACTTTATTATTGTTGTGTATAAATCAAATAAATGAGATGTGATAAATGTTCAATAAGGAAAGAAAAAAAAAAGGCGAAAACAAATGCAGAAGTATATCCAGTAATTATCAAAGAAAGCCAAAAAGAAAAACAAAAACAACAAAGGCAAGGGGGCACAACAAACACGACAAACACTGACGAAAAAAACAACAAGCAACAATACAAGAACATGGTCAAGGCACTCAAAAACCTCAATTTTTAAGCTACAACACTCCAAAAATAAAAAATAATTTAGAAGAGAAGAGACCGATTTAATGTAGTCAAGTACGAGAGCTAAATGCAACCGATCAATCAGCGAAAGATCATAAAGTTAAGATTGTAGCACAATTATATAATCTTGAAAAAACATTTAATATCACACATGAAAATTATAATATATATATATATAGACAATATAATATATAAATAACATTAAACTAATTTAATTAGTAACTCATAATCATCGCACTAAAACTTAATAAATATAAAAAACATCATCATAAGTGTTCAAAGGGTATATCATCATGTTCAAAAGATGAATCTTAAAATACATATTTTAGGGGTAATACAAGATTTATGCTCAAAAGACGGATTTTAAAATTCATAATTTAGGGATAATACAAGATATTGAACTTGTAAGACGAAATAGAGAAGAGGAGAAGTACCGAATTAGGAACATGGAGTGCAAAGTTGTAGACAAACTTATTCTTGTGTTTGAAAAGAGGAGGATTTCGTGTTTGAGAGAAGCCCAACACACTTTTTTTGTGATCTAATCACAAAGATTTCGATCTTGACCATACCGGCTATGAAAACTATTTTGCTACGGCAGTGCCACGTTTTGGTATTTGTTGCACATAAGATTGTACAATTTTACAATTTAGCACTTAATCTTGACTACAGTAGATCGACTAGAAACATATTTTTCAACCAAGCATCTTGTAAATTTTTAGAAGACACCCTCTAAAGCGCCTCCCGATTCAGCTGCAATAAGGATTAGTGTGCCACTCGAGAAAAGTGAAGGGGGAACAAGAAGTCTTACAAAATACCATTATCAATAAGAGAACTTAACATTATCTCACAACTCCTATGCGATCACTTTCACACCTAAGAAAATAGATTTATTTCGGGATTACCATAAAGTTAGACACCACACAATGTCAAAGCAACATCAAACAAACTCTAACTTTAGACCAGATCCTTAACAAACATAAGAATCGATTAAAATCAAGGAACCTAACTCATTATATAAAACATTCTTTCAACCCGGCCACCCAAAAATCCTATACCACTAATCAACCACTACCTTACAAGTTACAAAAAGGTGTAGGCTAGTCTCTCTAAAACAATAACCTAAAACATAGGAGAACCCATCAGGATTTAATAAAACTTATCACCTAAAAATGCTTTCCCTCGTGAGAATTCTATTAGGAAGTAACGACCAAGAGAAAAAAAATAACATTATATGGAGCCCAACTTTACTTGGTAGAGGTAAGTAATTACTCTCTTCGATAGGATAAATAGTAGGCAAACTATAATCCATGTTTAGCATGACACCACATTCACAAATCTTGACCATGGGATAAAATAAGACTCTCAAGAGTCCTAACTAAACTCCTTAACAAGCTCAAACTCCTAAACAAATAGACCTCTTCTCCATCTAAAATTCTAAATTCAAAAGTCCTTCTTCCAATGACCTATATTTCCTATCAACCCCTTACGGTTGAAAATCTCTCACACTCAAACCTCTCTTACACTTCAGCTTGTAGACATTCAACCATTGAACATAAACAATTTTGGATACTCCTTTAACACCATTTCACTGAAACCTCATCTAAAGCATCATTAACCTCCTCCAAAATACAACTTGCACCTTCATAAAAGATAGTTAGAAAATGAGGATAGAGTTGACAACATAGTTAATAAGGGTCATCCTCACTTCCAAACTATCATGCCTATGAATCCATGAAACAAGTCGTTTAGATATCAAGCTAATAAGAGATTTCCAAGTAGACTTTTTTTAGGTACCAGAATTCTTGAAACTGAATTGGTTCCAGGAGACGAGAAGTGAAGGTCAGATACTATTAACCAACAACCAACTATCTATTGTTTATGTATCGTGGCGGAGTAAGATCTCGGATCGATGTATGAGGTCAGATTCATGATTCATGGAGGCATGTCCCTGATCGGTTTAGAGAAGAAGTCGGACGTGTGAGTTGGAACTTGGAAGCCCAACGTAACGGTTCTGGGTAGATCCATTACTGCAAGGAAGTTACGAAATTAATGGGAAAAATGTTACATGATATAAGTGCTGATAACGATGATGACAACAAACGTTATGGGAGTCATTTAATTAGGAGACTCGAAAGGGTGGTTCTTAATGGCCCAAAGGGATGAGACATGGGTATGAAAATGAGGAGGCATATGAAAAGCAGGCAAATTACACTCATAGCAAAGATGAAAACAAACATAATTCTATACATTTTCGATCTCACCTGACTAATTTTAATGAGGTTATCCAAAAGGTGTTTTTAGCAAGAACACATGGCACCCACTTTGGGGTTTTGATAAAAATTTCTAAAACCGCACAAAAATTATCAATAATCATTAAGCTTACAACATCGAAATGTTTGGATCATCTCCCAATATAAGTGTTTCACCTCCTCCGCCAGACATTACATAATTATTGGTGATTGTTGAGGCTCTACAACAGTAGAATGAGTCATTGCAAGATAGTGTTCACACACTCCAGAAAACTTAGAGCCAGCAGGATAGAGACACAGAAGAGGAGCTTCTTGATCCCTAGCCTCTTGCAGAAGTGATATGAGACGATCAAGTTCCAGAAAACTTCAAACCATCACCATTGGCATCTTTCGATGGAAATAGTGATCTCCAAGAGCACATCATATTAATAAACAATCAAATGGTAATCGTCAGCGCCTCTGACTCTTTGAAATGCAAACTCATGGTGGAAAAGTTCAAGGATGTGGCCCGACATTGGTATATGATCTTGCCCCGGTTCTCGGTTACTAGTTACCTAGGTCTGATCAAGAAAATGGTACATAACTTTTCTGCTAGCAAGCATAGAAAGGTGTTGACGACAAGCTTATTCAACGTCCGAAAGAAACACTCTAAGTCACTTCGGAAATACATGGCATGATTCAATGAGGAGACCATCAAAGCCTCTCACCTGAATCAATAGATGTTCGTAGGAGCCTTCCTAAACGGTCTGAGAGCCAGTCACTTCAACAAATCCTTGGCACAAAAGCCGACAACAAGCATGAAGGAGATACTAAGGAGAGCTGAGTGCTACATCAAGGGTGAAGAAAGTAGCATGAAGAAGAGGTCTCGGGATGTCAAGGAAAAGTCTCAACCAAGATAAGACAGAACCTGTAACACCCCAAAGTCGAGATTTAATTATTTAATAGATTATTCGTGATTTATTGTGAGTTTATGTGATGCATGTGTGGTATGTTGGGAGATAGTGAAGAACAAAGGTGTTAATTAGAGTTATTTGGATTTAAATCATTTTAGTTATATTATTTGAATCTTAATAATTAAATATAATAAATAGTTGTAAGGGAGAATAAAGACATGGTGGTAAAATATGATGATAAGTGAGGGTATACGGGGACTGACATAGAAAGTATCAAAGGGTTAAAAAGATAAAATAGAAGAATATCGATCATTCTGTGCGATTTAGAATTGGAAGAAACGCGAAGAAGAGGTTAGGGTTCAGAGAAAATTTTTGTAGAACGCGAAGGAATGGATCGATCGATAGGAATTCGAGGTAAGGGGTTTAGTCTCGATTTATTATGATTGGTAAGAGGTTAAAGTAGATGTAGGTTTTGTTGTATATGATGATTTGATGAAAAGCATGACAAATTCGTTTATTTATGATGTATGTATGATATGATTTGTGTTCAATATGACGTGATGATGTATTTTGATGTCAATATGTGATATATGATGACTGTTATGCTATTTGGACTAGTTTGGTACTGTAATCTAAACTGGAATGAGGTTGGACAGTGCCGAAATTGCAACAGAGAAGTTGCAGTTTCGCAAGCACCGCCGAACGAGCAACGGGTGAGGAGGGTGCCAAAGCATTGTCAGGCGAGACAAGCGGCAATGAGATGGGTGAAAAGGTGAGCTCCTAGGAAATGTATGGGGAGGGGCTCGCCGCCCCGGTGTTTCCGAGCGAGCGAGGCAGCGATGATCCCAATCATGGCTTTCACCGGGCGAGCACCAGGTGAGCAGGGAACCTCTTAAGTCGTCGGGCAAGCCTCAGGCGAACAGCCCTGGCAGCATTTCCAAGTGTCGTAACATGAGTTTCAGGACTCCATTTGACACGTCGTTCGAAGCATTGGAAAGATAACACACAAAAATATATCATGACAGAGTTATTTGAATTGTTTGATGCATGATTCTAGTACCTATGTGTTGATTAAATTGATTTATTACATGTTTGTTATGCTATGAGGTTCTATTTGGTTTAATGACGAGTATGATGTTACTATGATGTTGTTGTGATGTTGACGATGGTGTTGTGACGATATTATGGTGATGTGCATGTTTTAAATATGTAATACGTGCTACGTTATGTTTATATGAATGATGATGCAATTGACTAGCCGTGGTCGAATTTTATGTGGCGTTTTGTGCATCATGCATTCATAGCATTATTTTAGATGGTGGTCCGCTATTTTGGACGGTGGTCCACTTGTGACGAGCCTCAATCCTATTGTGTTGATTGAGTGCGTTTATGATGTGGCTCGGTTCCAAGAGGGAATCGATCCTATGGTGGGGATCTTTGAAGGGTGATGAACCAGGCGTTCATAAAATATTGGTACCACATGCATTGAGTCAGTATTGTGCATTAATATCCTATGTGACATGGCATGATTTTATGATGAGTTTTGATATGGTGATAATGGTGAACCATGTACGTATATGATGATTTGATGATGAATGATGTCTAAGTGCTATTGTGATATACCTGTGAGTGTGACGTGTTGATGGATAAAACGTGTTGTTATCTGATGAGATTGTTTGTAACTACTTGTCTTTTCCTTATATCTTTTATAATGGATTGTGATTACTTATCCTTTCTGTTTTAATGTTGATTCCACGTGGGTAATACGCAGGTGACCAGGAGTAGTTCGTAGAAGTGTCAATGATAGATTTGGAGTATTTTATTTAGTATGGTACATTAGTGGTGTCTTGCTCTGATGCGTAACATCGGGTTGGGAATGTTATGTTTTGCAAATGATGTACTTTTATATAACATGTTTTATTAGATTATCAAATGTTAAAGCATTTTAATTATAACTTTTGATGAGATTATAATACTTGAGTTTTGAAATATGCAATGAAGTTGTTTTATGACGATGATTTCCATTGCGACGATTTTAAATGAAATGATGATGTATAATTAGATGCATTTTAAACATTGATGTAACCTGTGTTACAGAGCATGATTGTATTTATGTTGTTTTCTATAAAGTGTGACACCCTTGAGTGGTGGTTTTATTTGAATTAATTCATAAATTAAATGAGAATTATATGTGGGGTTAGAAGAGAGTTACAGAACCAACCTCAAGAATGAGCATCAAAAACCCGAATTAAAGGACAACGCAATAACAAGACCCTCTTAAAGACCATATGAAAACTATGTCGAAAGTTTCACCCCGCTCAACACAAAACAGGGATACATCCTACATGAAGTGTACCACCTTAAGCTGATCCTGAAACCAAGCCGACCCAAGAGGGTCAATGTCGTATTGGGACCAGATGAAGGTGCTTGGTGTGCCTACCATAGGTTCTAGGGCCATCACACTGAAGGTTACCACCAGTTGAAGAGAGAAATCAAAATCATGATCCAAAGAGGTCGATTATTATCTTATGTAAGGGATATTAGGGCTCCTTTGTGAAAGAGAAGTCCTCTCTAGGGAGATCCCAACTCGAAGAATCCCTCAAGGTAAGGTACTTGATTGTAAATGCATCATCTCCCTACAACATCATCATCAGAAGACCGACGTTCAATGTCCTCGAAGCGACATTGTAAACTTTCTATCGCACCCTTAAATATCTCTTGGATGATGGGCGTGTGGGTGTGATAAAAGGTGGTCAGGGATTGGCTAGGAAATACTATAAAGACAAATTGAAATTGAAGAAGAAGGTCAGGCAAGACGCTCAAACAAAGGAAATCCCCCTAAAGGTTATCTTGGTCGACTTCAATCCTCGGGAGACTTTGGAGGAGGATAGCCTAACCCCTATAAGGGATTTAAAAAAGATGCAGATCGGTTCAGAAGACTTTTAGACCACATAGATAAGTTCAAGTTTATCTCAGAAAGATGAGACCTCAGTTGTCCAAACATTAAGAAACAATGTGGACCTTTTTTTTTAAAATCATCATATATGCCCGAAATTGATTCGGGCATATTGTGTCATCAACTTTCTCTAAATATGTCGGCATGACCAGTATCACAAAGAAAGCATAAAGATGGTGAAGAGAAAATAAAGTTCGTTGTAGAAGATGCAGTAAATCTCTTAAAATCCAGATTCATCTAGGAAATCAAGTACCCGACTTGGTTATCTAACATTGTAATGGTGAAAAAGAAATTTGGGAAGTGGCGCATGTGCGTAGATTTCACGTATGTTAATAAGGTTTGTCCCAAAGATCCTTATCCATTTCCAAACATTTATAGGCTCATTGATGAAGCCTCCAGCTTTCGCTTTCTCAGTTTCATGGACACGTATTCTGGTTATAACCAGATACATATGAACCCGACGGATGCACCCAAGATAACATTCATAACAAACAGAAACAACTATTACTATGAGGTGATGTCATTCAGCCTGAAGAACACATGGGCTATGTATCAGAGTTTGATGGACATGGTTTTCTCGTCACGGGTAGGAAGGAATTTAAAGGTGTACATTAACGACATGGTGATCAAAACACTCGAAAAGAATAATCATGTCCAGGATCTGGAAGCAACATTTGCCTCAATAAGAAATTTAAACATGAGGGTTAACCTAGACAAATGTACTTTCGAGGTGCAGGCCGATAAATTCCTTGGTTTCATGTTGACACACTAGGAATAGAAGCAAACTCAGATAGGTGTCCAGCGATTATCGATACGAGGAGTCTGTCATCAATAAAGGAAGTACATCAGCTGACTGGATGATTGACCGTCCTTTCTCGGTTTTTATCTTGCAGAGGTGACAAGTCTATCCATTTTTTCGCAGTTCTAAAGGAGCCATCAAGTTTTCAATGGTCATAAGAGTGTGAGAAGACGTTTGCAGAGTTGAAGCAATTCTTAGCAGCACCACCCATCCTGGTTCTCTCGAAGGAGAATGCCCCCTTCATACTCTACTTGGAAGTCTCAGGGGAGCTCCGTTATCAAAATATTGAGCGTCTGGCTCTGACAATAGTGATCACAGTCAGAAAGATGAGACATTATTTTTAGGGTCATCCTATCCTATAATGGAGAATTTCATATCCGTTGTGTATTAGTCTATTATTGTGTTTTAATTTCTCATAAGTAAAGGTGTCAACAACGGTACAAGTGTATATGGATGAAATGGTTTTCGCTTATGGAGAACATATAATTATATGGACTCACACTTGAGGAGGAGATTGTTAAGATACAAGTGTGAGTTGAAAGTCCCACCTTGTTTCAAAAACGGAGGTTGAAAACTTTATAATTCAGAAGACTCATATATCCAATGTCATAAGATTTTTGGTGAATATGTCATATCTCTCTCGCTTATGTATTACTCTTGGAGGAGGCTCCTCCTCATGATCATTTGTAGACTTACCATTTTATATGCTCTACTCATGTATGCTTTGTTTTCTGTCTGTATTTTGATTATTTTAGACTTTATCATTTTTAAATGACTATTTGAAGTTTTTTGGACAGAAAACAATGACTTAAAATGAATTATTAATTTCAATATTTATTTATGTTTAACTTTAATTCTAAATAAAGCATAATATAATTCAAATATTTTATATGAAAAAACAGTATAACTTTTTATATATTCTTCTAAAATAATGAAAGTGTATATTTTAACCTAAGAGAATAAAGAGAAGTAGAGTGTAATTCAAGTTTTTGTCAAAAGAGAGAAATTTAGTTTACTCAAATTATTCTCATACACTAATCTAAAATATTTATGAGAACCTGATAACAACAAATTATATACATGCCATAAATAATTAAATTGTTTCTATAAAGTCTCATGCTATGGAGGTAACTAAATATAGGTCAATTCGATTCCTAACAAACCAGAGAGTTTGTATGAAAGAGAATGAAAACATGATTTATAGTACAAATAGTTCAGAAATATGAAGGTCATGATGATCATCGATTACATTGGTTTCTGTAAATACTATTCACACCTCCATAAGATTAACTTTTTCCAACAGGTTATGCTCGTGCTCAAGAAAGAGAAGCAGTGCATTAAAAATGTAATTAAAAACTATAAATAATTAATATAGTACGAGTACTTTCTTATAAATCAAGAATAGGCTCTTATTTTGATGTTCATCTTAAGATTCCTAATTGGTTGTTAATTATATTAAGTGAGTATTTGAATTTGCAACAAATTTGATAAAACTTATAATTTTTCTAAACATGCAATAAAATTTCTTTAAAAATCAAGAAAAATAGTGTATCATATTTTAATAAAAAACTCAACTATACTCCCTAGCCGATAACACTCAAACCACTATTCCTAATAATTTTTACGAGTTTAATAAAAATCTTTTATTTTATTTATCATAGTTGTAATTAATTAATAATCTCTTTCTTTTTTTTTTTTTTTTGAGTTTTACCTCAAATTTTTTATAATCGAAATTGAGAATCCTTAGTATTTTTATCAATTTATCTTATATAAAAAAAATAGAGATGATAGTTCTCAAATCAAGTTGAGAATAAAATTACATACATATAAGAGTTGCTAATAAACCCTACCACAAAGGAGAAACACAAAAAAAAAACACAAGAGATGCCATGAAAAAGAAACACAACCAACTCTATATAACATAACCTGAATCTACTTATTAGCAACCTATTCCTTCGAATTTACTTTCACTCCGCATCATGAGCCCTTTTAATCCATTAAACTTATAATAACTCCTTTTGTAACACTAAGTAATTTTAATCCACTAAACATGTATTCATTCTTTACAAAATATTCTATTAAATAATTTAAATTATAGGAACATATTTTCTCTCTTAAATGAAAGAACTGAGCTTATTTATGGTACAAGTACGATCCTATCTTTACAGGTTTGATATGATTGATTTCTTTGTTTATAGATATATCATATATCTTTTCCATAAAAGGGTTCTTCAAATATTAAAATAATTAGTAGTACTTTAGTAGTTGAAGTACAAAATAAAATAGTATGCAAATGAATTTGTGACATACCTTGAACTGGAGAACTCATGGAGTTTCCCTGTGGAAGAGAAGACGATGAGTGCCACTTCAGCATCACATAGAACTGATAGTTCAAAAGCCTTTTTGAGCAACCCATTTCTTCTCTTTGAGAAAGTTACTTGTCTGTAGGACTCATTTTCGATTAGCTTCAGTTGCGTTTTTCCTCTCACCATTCTGGTATCAACTCTTTGGGGAAAAGATCTGTATTGAAAATTGAAAGAGACTTGAATTGAGATCTACTTTACCAAAGATTAGAATACAAATGGGTGAAAACTATTGTTGTTATCCAATTATAGAAAGTTAGTAGTGAAAGTAAGTAATCAAACCTGACAAATATTTCGAACCAAACAATAGAATCTTTTATGGTCTCTCAACTTTCAAGGAAGCAAATACAGGTTGTATAATAGAAACCCTAGAAAAAATGTATGGATATAAAATGAGAAAAATAATAAAGAAGGAAGGGAGATAAATGACCAGAGGTTCCCCTATACAACCTACCTAGCCATTGTAATATATCATTATGTATTGTGTATGTATAGATAGAATCGAATAAGATAAAGGCTACTGAATTAAAAATAATAATATTAAAGGCTATTGAGAACATTTTATTTATAAAATATGGACATAATTAGTTTTCCAGTCCATTATAACTTAATTTAATGGGTTGTTTTAGTTATTTAATTAAAAAATGTTACACTTTAAACTTTTAAATAATATTTTATTATCTAAAATAATTCTTCTATTAGTTTATCAAAAAAATATTTATTGACTACGTGGCATGACACGCAGATAAATAAAGCTAAGAGACTAGTTAATAAATCAATTTGAAGCATGTATTTAAAGTTAAGGGTCTAATTTTCACACAATTCTAAATAGTATTACAAGTTATATCATTCAAAATGGCATTATAGGCCAATATCATTCAAAATGATATTATAATTTATAATACTAAATGTTTCACTATTTTGAAAACATCAATAAACATAATAATTTAGAGCAACATAAACAATGGGGAGTCTCAAGGCTTTTTTAATATACATATACATGTTCATAATTGTATTTTGAGTCAATGAAGCATTGCGGTATGTCGTGCTCTAATTTGTCGGAACGTGTTCGTGAAGATATAATGTTTGCAAAGATTTCAGCAAGCTTCATGCGTGCGTTGTTGTGGCATCTGTGAGCTGAGATTGGTAGGTATGAGAAGAGAACACTGATTGAAAGCATTACATTGTCAAGATCATGGAACAGTCTAGAGACATCATCAAAGAGCTTGTCAAGAACTCCACAGCCCAACAAACATATATTGACTGTCAAGATGATCAGATGCTCAAGTTTATACTTCAAATCAACTTCACCACTTGATCCCCACTATGAGAAATAATCTTGTAAATTTGGTTCATTTATTAGAAATAAAACAACTTAGCCAAGAAAAACTATAATAGAAGAATATATTATTTATAAATAGATCTAATATCTCTTTTGGTCCCTTAACTTAATCTAATATTTCACTTTGGTCCCTTAACTATAAAATGTTACATAGTACTCCATTAACTAACATCTCGTTATATATATTGGTCCCTTCCGTTAGTTTTTCATGAAAAAACATTAAATGTTGTCTTGCTAGACATTTTAAAGCGTACTTGGAATTTCATTATTTTATATTAATTTAAATTATGAAAAACATTTATCCCATTTTTCACTCTTGGAACCCTAGGTCACACTTGACCCACTTCCAATCTCATATTCTAGATCTGATCTTCAAGATAACTCTAAAAACCCTAAAAGATGAAAACTTTCTCCTCGATTCAAACCACCTAATAATTTCCTGTATGCGATACGACAACTGGCCAAACATTTGCGAGGGGACTCCCAGCGCGTCATCAACGTTCACATTTTGCTTGGAACAACCTCTCACAAACTGCAATTAACTTTTTAGAGAATCTTTAAAGCAACTGCAAGGCCCGACACACGAAGCGGTGGACGGGATATGGCTGATATTTGTGAGGGGGCACCCCACGCGAATGTTACCGTCACATTTTGTGTCGTTAAGCCCCTCGCAAATTGCAGAGTGGTAAAAATTTTAAATTTAAAAATTCCTCTTATTTTGCGAAGGACATCCCTACACTAATTTTTGTTTGTTTGTGATTTGCGAGGGGTTTATCCCCAAGAAAAGTCAAAATTTAGTGAGGGGTGATTCACCTCATAGATACCCCTAACTGATCAAACTTTTTCTTGTAGTGCCATTCTGCACCATTTTTCTCTTCCATTCCCGAAAGGTATTCTTTTTCTTTTCTTTTCAAACTTCTTCGTACCATTTTCATGTATCAATAGCGTATTTTTATCCTAAATTTATTTCACTAGTTCATTAAGAGTTATATGATTGTTTAATTTTGATGTTGTGATTTTTTTAGTTATCGAGGTGTATGCTAATGTCAATTAATTGTCAAATCCAAAATAAGATTGATATGAATGTTTAGCTTTAGAATGAGATATCATGAATGACTATGGATAAGAAATTATCAGAGTAATTGTTAAGCTATGTAAGCTTATTTAGACTTGACTTGATTATTTGTTTCTTTTTATATTTATAAGGTTTAATTAGTCACAAAGATCTCTTAAGTTAATTTAAGGTTTCACTTTAGTCTTTTATATAATAAACTTTATATATTAGTCCCTTAAAAACCAACATATTATCCTAATTAATCCTTTCTATTAAATGTTGAGAAAAAATGTTAAGTTGTGATGATGTGGCATAACGACATGACCAAAGTCAAAATATTGAGTCATCAAACATTTTATAAACTTATAATCATCTTTATTTAGAAGCAAATCATGTTGTTATGCGTTTTCTAGGGTTACACCATCATCTTCTTCATCTTTTTTCTATTTTAAAATTCTCATCAATGTCAATGATTTCCAACGGTGCTTCAATAACAACCAAAATTCTGAGACAGTTGGATCTCTACCTAGAAGAAACAAGAGAAAATAGTGATTTTTCCAAAAGGAACGTTTTGTTCGTATTGTTACGAGTATTAATAGTTTGAACATTAGGAAATGTTTTGGGGTGTATAAATTACAAGAACCATATTGAAAAGGGTTGTAATTTTTTCAAGTGGTTAGGTGATGAAATTGTTGATGAACAGGATCTCAAGTTTGAAAGGTGTTGTACTCCAAAATTTGCCCTCTCTTTTCTCATGGATTTCCTCATGAGATCTTCCACGACTTGGGTGTGCAGCACTGATATATCAATTTAGGTTTGGAATTGGCACAAGGGTAAATGGTCAATTGCACACTGAAAAATCAAACTTTGACTTTTGGATCAAAAACAAGCTTCAAGAATCATATTTTATCAAAACATGTTGGAATATGAAGTTTGTTTTATCAAGAAAGTCAAAAGTCAAATTGGCTTTGGAAAAGTCAAAATTCTTAACACTTAAGAAATTTTTCTAAGTGTTAGGAAATATGATAAGTTTAGAACTTCTGGCAAAATTTCACCATGATGCAAGTTGATTCTGGAAGAACTTCTGACATAAGAGTTGTAGATCTAAATGAGATGATCTAAAACATTACAGAACAAAACTTCTCCTAGAAATGCTGGGATTTCAAGTTATAAATCTTCAAAGACACGTCCATGAAACTGAAGCACTCAGTAAATTCTGGACATTTCCAATACAGAATTTGGTTAGAACTTTTGGGACAATTTTCACATAAGTTCATTCAGAATTTGCAAAAGTAATTCAAAGAAGATCTACAAAGCGTGTTACAAGCTTTCTGAAAAGTCCGAGAACTCCTTCAGAATATGCTGGAGCAAAGAGTTTCAAAGATCAGAAGTTGGATGTTTGTTCTAAGTTACGCCGATGCTGAACTTCTGATCCAGATTAAGCTATGATACATAATCTCATATTACATGATTCTGTTTTGACAAATCTCATCATCATTTAATGCTCACACCCACTTTTGAATCTTTATCCAAAGGATTTCCCCACGTGTGGCATAGAATTACAATTGTTGTCCTTGAAAAAGTAAACTTTTGTACAAAGTTTATGTTGGGCCCATGCTTTGTTTTTTCCTCTAAGGGTACTTTTCCTTAATTCATACTTACAAATCCAGCTTAGGCATGGCTAAAAGTTGCTAACCACCCTACTTTGTTCCTTGAATCATACTTGTTTAACTTGCTTCAAGAACAAGGCAGCGCCCTAGCATATGATGGTTGTACTCTTGACTCCTCCAAGCTACAAAATCCTTGCCTATAAATTGAACTTCGTTTGCAACTGTAAAGACGTCGAAAAAAATAGAAAAGAAAATACCTTGAAACCTTGCTAAAAATTCCAAGAATCCGAAACTACAAACACAAATACAAAACATGCTAGTTTCTGATTTTTCTTTCTTTCAAACTCCAATTTTCATCAAGTGTTTATTGACCAAATTATCAACACAGTTTCTAATACACATTTAGAATCCGTTCCAACTTTTGTTTTCAGACTGTAACACGTTCTCCATCAATCTCACCTCAAAAAGTCAGAACTTTGCTTCTTGGTTGTTCCATAATTTTTCAGCCATTCATAGCCCAATTTAAAGGTTGTTCCAGCCTGCTGAACACGTAAGGAAGTTGATCAGAACATCACAAGCTGTCAGAACCAAGATCTAGTTCACAAAGATTTTCCAGCTGCAAGGTAAGCTTCTTCTGAATCTCATTATATTACTTAGGCATTGTTAGACTTGCATGTTCAAAAATACAATGTAGACATCCTGACTCTTATTTTGTACATATTCATAGATCTCATGTATTTTTGCCTAAGTAGAGAGAACTTTAGTTCAGAACTTCTTAAGGAAATTAGGATTCAGAATTAGGATTAGCAAAATTCATGATTGCTTCTGATTTATAGTTCTGATATCTTATATTTCTGAAACATAATGAAATTTGCCATAATTGATATGTTTGCATTTTCCATTTTTTGTTGAGAAATGACTAAGTTGCAGATGCTCTGACTAGCATGGAGAAGGAGATGAAATTCATCATCAGAGCTTACATTGTGATACATATTTATGCTTTTGCTTCTAATACCGGATGTACAGCCACCCCAGTGGTAGGAAGCGTGCGCATAAGATATTAGTGCTAAGGATCCCGGGTTCTAGCCCCAGAAACATCTTTTTAGGTTTATTTATTGACATT